CATATCACACAGTCTGCTTTTAAGAGCCCCCTCACCTTTAAAACTAGTTTGGAATTGTTATTAAAGAGAAATGTTTTCAACCTCAAGCATGCATCAAACTACAGTAGTTGTGTAGTTTCTTGAATCTGTACTACAACTGTCAACACATTGATTTCTTTAAAGGAGGTGAGCTACTGCCAGTATTTAAAATACTGAGCTATATTGAAAGTTTGAACTTCCAGGAAAAATTAGAAATGTTATAGTTCATTTTAGTTGTCAGTCTTATGAAGTGCACCAAAAAAGTTCAAATGGAGGCTAGAGGGTTTTTTCCCCAAGAATAGTGAAATGAGAATACAGTACATTATTGCGGGAAGAACTCACTTATTTCAAGAGTGACCAAGCTATTTTATAACTGATGTTAAAGAACTTGTTCTTCCTGTCTCCAGGTTGATCTTATAAGGATCAACCTTATTGTGTGCATGTATGCTATTTTATATTGTATAAGATATTTTATATAAGCATTTCATATAAGCGTGTTCAGTCCTGCATAATTCAGTGGCAACATATTTTAGTGACTTTTAAACTGGATTTTAATTAGATTGTGTACAAATAATTCAAAGGTGTTTGCAGGAGAAAGAGTTCGCTATGAAAAAAAATTATTTTCACAAATACAAATTCACTTTTCTTATCATAGTTCCTGTTTTCCAAAACCCAGGATTATACCACCGTAAATGACTAAGCCAGACACAATGACCAAATTTATTGCTTCTTCATCGATTTTGCATTTCGACAACTGGCTTTGGCAAAGTTCAGAGGCTTGCAAAACTAGATGATAAAATTTTGATGGGATGTCTACCGTTAGTTTTTAAAGAATGTGGTCAAGGGTTATTCTTCCCTCTTTTCTATTGCATTCCTTCATGATTGTTGTGCAGTAGCATGTTATAACCATTTTACCTTTTTCTTCATCTGAGAAGAGTGTGAACAAGACCTTCTGTAGTTTTTCCTTTTCTATATTCACCTACCTCCTTCTCCAGTACAGTTCTTTCCACTTGTTGTTTTTGGTAGCTACATTGGGAGGTTGCTTTGTTGCTCCCAACTGGATGCCTGTGGCATAAAACAACAGATGCCTCCCCTACCTTGGTAAAGGCCACATAGAGGATACATAACTTCATTGACAGTATTTTGCCAGGCAAGTGCACCAGAGTTGCTTGTTCTGGTCAAGATTGTGGGACCAGGCACTTTTGATAGTAAACATCAAAGCAGTAAGCTATATAGCTCTGTTCTATCTCAATTTTGTCCATATCATTAGTAATGGCTGAGTCATCCCTGCTGAGCAAGGAGCAGTCTTGGATTTTATGGTGATATTCCCTATCCAAGCTATGACCATCCTCTGTTAGAGTTAGGCAAGTGTAGCTATTAATATTACTATAATATTGGAACCCAAGCTCATTACGAAGGTAATTTCATCAGCACCTGGTAAGATGGTCAACCTTGTTCATCAAGGACATAAATATAGGCCAAACAAACTTATACTGTACTTTGAATTCAATAGAACCTAAAGATGATGAAAATATGATAATGGGGGATAAATTAGTGCCATGAGATTATGTGCTGTAACTTCCTCTCAGCCAATCTTGAGGGATCCACTTCGGAAGATACAGTTATTGATATCATATCATCATCTTCTCAGAAGAATGGACCACTTATTTTGATATTTCCGTTCTAACTTTAGGAACTATTACATTTATTCTCCCTTTCACACTCACTCTTCAAGCTTTTCACTATGCCTCCTGGGGCTTAAGAATTCTCTTCTTGTATTGTGATTGCTACTTCTTACTACTGCTATTGTATATTGGGAATCCCAAACAATAATCCATACAGGCACTTATTGTCTGTTTTACATTTTCATTCTTGGAATCCTATGACAGTCCTTTCCAATTTACACTATCGAATTGCCTTATGGACCTCATTTTTATCAAAGATAAGACCACATTTTATGTAGCCTCTATTGAGTAACTTTCAACACAGTAAATTTTAATGTCACTTTATGACCAACTAGTACAATGCCACTGGCAACTACCACTGAGTATGTGATGGCCATCATGATGACTTTGTTTCTCTCAGTAGTACTGCTGTAATCTTTGCTCTTCCTTCTTCCTTATCAGAATACAATATTAGTGGTCTTACTTGTTTCACTGCCAACCTGGGCTTGTCAGATCAGATAACTGATGCATGACCATCTCTAGAAGTCCTACAAAATTTTATACATCTCTTAGGAAAAAAAAGCATCAGCCTATGTCCATTTATTGGGATGAATTCCGGCTGGGAATGAAATCAAACAATCATATCAATATTTACGTGGATATCAAGATGGAAGTCTTTTTATTGTTGCAATAATTTCGACTTTTTGAATTCTACAAGCTTTATATATA